ACATAACAAGACCTTGTCTCAAAAATAAGCCCAGAAACACCTTTTACCTGCCATCCCTTTCCCCAAGATTTTAGACTTGTAACATCACAATTTGTAATTTGGATTCAACAACTAGTCAGGTTAACAAACCCTTAAATTTTGGAGTAAATGTCTCTAAATCAGGAGTAATCCTATATATCCTATATATATATATGTATATATAAAATATATATATTTTATATATAATATATATTATATATTTAATATATAATATATATTTATATATATATAAAAATCCTATATATATAATCAACCTTGGAATAATGCAGTTAGTACTGTAGGTCCTTCTCAAGTAAATGGGTATGATCCGATAGACCCACTGAGGCTGAAAATACATGTAACATACCTCATCTACTGAACACCATAGCTTAGTAACAGCATGCATCGGAATATTAGTTCTTGGGGCTGGGGATTTGGCTCAGCGGCATAAGCACCGGCCTTTCAAGCAGGTGGTCATGAGTTCGATCCCCAGTCCCGATTTAAAAAAAAAAAGAGTATTAGTTCTTTACCCACATGATCCCAGCATTGCAAGGAGAGTCCTACTTGTATTGCTAGCTAGGAAATTAAAATTTGAAATCTACCTTCTACTGAATACACAACAGCTTTCACTCCATGATAAATCGGAAAATAAGTCAAACCACTCAACTCAGGAACCATCTCTGATGTCTTCAGAAGTAGAAAACCATCCTTTGTTATAACCTGTCCTACTTTATTATACCATGAAAAATTTACTGAATCTTCCACATTTATAAAAGCATCACGTGAAAGACTGAAGAAGTGAAGTATGTCTTGTCTTTCATAGGTAGGTTAAAAAAAAAAACCTGAAAGTTGAGAGGAAATGCATTCTAATTTAATGGCTGATTTGCAATTTGTAGGTAAAACTGTCCATAGAAGGCCGAAGATGAGGTCACTAGTACAAGTGTTAAGCCTGGAGAGAACAGGAAAGTATGGGAAGACCAACTCTTTTCGGCTCCATTTTTGTTACATGTATTGCTTGGTATGTGCCTGACCAAAGGCGTAACTCCAGGTATGCCTTTCCACCGAGACGTCCTACAGGCGCTTTAAAGTTCAACAAGCCAAACCAAACTTACTTTCCTCTAATTCCAGTTCCCTTGCCCAGTTCCCTGCTTGCTTTGTCCTACTAGTCCCTTAAAAGTTTTTTCCCATCCATTAAGATGCTCTTCTCTCCAGAATTTCCCCTCAAACTGTCTCTGCTAACATCCAAAGACCTTTTTCCTCTTTTGTGCTACTAAAAATATGCTCATGATGTTTGTAGTGTTCTCCTTCCAAATTCTTCATATTTCATCCCACTTTTTTCAAGTAATTCCCTTCCTTCCTCATAAACCTGATAACTCGCCACACTCGCCAAAAAATAATTCAGCATGGCAGTTGAGGTCTTTAATGTTCTTACAATATACCTTTCAAATATATTGAATTGTCTCCCATCTTTCCACTGAACATTTTGTATCTCTTTACATCCTCACTTGCTCCTCTTTTGGGGGTTGGGGAACAGGGTCTCAGGCTGGCCGTCAACTGGCACAGATCTTTCTGCCTCAGCTTTCCCCAAGTGCTGGAAATAGACATGTTCCACCATGTCCAACTGTTCACTTCATCTCTTACTGTTCCATATCAATTTTTTTTTCCCAAGGCCCAATGCAATGCTGCTCCCAACCCTACCTAGTACTGTGATTGAACTCAGGGCCTTGACACTGAGTTTACAACTATCTCCACTTTTTTCTATTTTGGTAATGGTGATCATGACCTCAGGTGCTTATGCCACTAAGCTAAACCCCTGGCCCCATCCCACACCTTCTTAAAATGTTTTTATTCTGAAGCTCAGTGTGGTGTCACACAGCTATAACCCCAGCACTCCAAGAGGCTTTAGCAGCAGAATCTCCGCTTGAGGCCAGCCTAGGCCGCGTAGTGAGTTCAAGGCCGTCCCCACTACACAGTGAGACAATTGTCTCAAAAAGAAAGCTTTATTTTGAAATAAGGTGTTGCTGAATTGCCCAAGGCTGGGCTTGAATTTGAGCTCTTCCTACCTCAATCTCCCAGGGTGCTGGGATTACAGGCATGTACCAGCACACTCGGCTCATGCTGACTTCCAAATCAGCTAGTAAGGAGGCTGAGACAGGACTGCAAGTCAAAGTCCAGCTGGAGCTATATAGTGAGACCACCACCCCTGCCCACCCCGCATGAAAGGCTGGAAAAGTGTAGAGCATTTGCCCAGCATGCAGAAGGCCCTAGGTCCAATCTTCAGGTTCCAAGTGGAAAAGGCAAACCATTTTCTCCAAGCATCACTGAATCTCCACATTAGTGTAACACGCTAGCTTTACATCAATATTTACATTAATATACAGAAAGAACTGATTGTGCTGTGCCCAAAACCTCAATGCTGGACCTAAGAAAATGATCTGCCTACCATTTCAGTCTTTTAGCTTATAAACCACTGCAAAATTTTTATTAAGAGCTACGTTAAAGTTGAAAAGAATGGTTCCTACTAACCTTGAATTTGATCTTTTGCCGCCTTTTCCTTTTCCCCCACCAATAAAGACACAAATACTTAGCAGCAAGATTAACTCAAGTCAGAGCAGTTCCTTCCATAATGTCACAAGTTTTTTGAGATAGCTTTAGCTTTGTATCAATGGTTGGACAAACTCAGTATCAAAGTGTAAACTCATCTCTAAACTTCAGTATAAAGTGGTAATCACATACTGATATTTGTTCTCTAGTGAGGTGCCAATGATGGAATTTTTCCTACTCACACTAACAAACCTTTATGCCGTTGCAATTAATGAGCCCCCTTTACCAAGCTACTAGTTTAAATGTAGGCATGAAGCTGTTGACTACTACAGAATACATTGTTTTGCTTATGCAGCCATAAAACAAATACACTGGAAGAAGTGTTAAGAGATTCCAATGAGAAAAATAAAAGGTAGCTTAAAATAGACATTTTAGGAAGACAATCATACTCAACTTTTAAATTCACTACAATCTTTTCCTTGCATATGTATCATCTGCAGTGTAGTTCAAAACTGTAAAACCTATTTAATACTCTTTAATAGTCTATGTCACTGTCATTCTTTGAAATTTTTTAATGATTCTGAGTGTTAACTCTTAAAAGCTCACAGTTTTAATTACAAGGTTGAGAGTTTATTGGGCGCAGGTGCTCAACATACCATACCCCACCCGGGACTAAGGACCACGCCAGCTTCCGCAATGCGCTACACGTCCCTCTCCAAATTAGCCACCCCGTACTCACTTCGTATTCACCACAGCTGAGTATATTAGCCAGAGCCCGCGTCTCATTCCAGCCCTTCCTCCTTGTGGCAGCCCTCTTGGCTGCCTGATTGGCCACAGTCAGATATATAAGCCAGAACCTGCAACAATAAAGTTGGCAGTTCCTGTTACCCACCTGAAGCGTTTCTTGTCTCATTGGGGCTGCGCCGGTCAAGAGTTCACCTACATTTCTGTGTAAGTACCAGTTTCTCTACATGTTTAAAAAGCCAGTTATATACATAGTATAGCTAAATTTCTCTGCATGTGAAAATGACTTTATAGCTAATATGTGGCAAGGACATGACACACGATAGCACACCTGGCTTTATGAGGCAATGGTAACACACCCTCTTGGCACTGTTTATTAAGTCAATAGTGACTCTGAAGTTATGCCCATAACAGTAGTATTTTCAAATAGCTAGAAAATTGTTTCCCTCTGCTTGTCTATGAAACTGAACATTATAAACTGTAAAACTCAGCTCCAGGCGGCATCTTTTTCATCTCCCACCTTACAGCCTTGTATAACTTGAATTATTTTTTCATACATCTAAACACTAGCCAATTACCCAGAAACTTTTTGAGATAGCTTTAGCTTTATATAACATAACACCCACACAAAATTCTATTTTATAATTTCTCAGCTGGAAACACACAAACATACACTACTGAGAACAATGTTTGAATGTCAGTACTTTCACAAAGTACAACTACATAAACTATCATGTTTAGCTGCAAGCAAGCTTCAGAATCCAAATTCTACATCTAGTATCTTAACATTGTTTTTCTGTTGGTTCAAAAAAAGCTGGGTGTACAACTATAGTGATTCACCTACTTGGGTGGCAAAGACATCATCCTGAACTTGATGCTGGCCTGAGCAGTCTGAAGACTCAAGGACTGCAGATGTACCTCAGTGGTGAGAGTGCCTGCCTAGTGTTAACTGCAGGTTCAATTTCCAGTGCCACAGCAAAAAGCAAAACAAAACTCCATCAATGCAAACTCAGTAAAGCCAAAAAAGTATCCTCTTTTCCCTTTTTGAGACAGTCTTACAGAGTCCAGGCTAACCTCAAACTTCAGTAGCCTGACAGGCCCCTTCAGAGCTGGAACTACAGATGTGCACCATCATGCCCAGTTGAAGTGTCTTTTTTTTCTACTAAAAAATGTGAGTCAAATAGTACTTTGTAAAAAAAAAAAAAAAAAAAAAAAGGTTCAGGAAGCTGAGGCAAGAGGATCTCTAATTGAAAGGCTAATCTGAATTACTCTTACACAAGACGCTGTATTTAAAAGAAAAAATTTCAAGATATAAACTAAGAAACCTTGTATTTATCTGTACTCATTTTCACTTGTGAAATGGAGGATTTTTTCTCAGTCATTGCATCTTCTAGCTGGGCATGGTGGTGCATATTTGTAATCCTAGCCCTTGGAAGACTGAGGCAAGAGGGTCACTGCCACTCCAAGTTTGAGGCCAGCCTGGGCTCCACAGTGAGTTCAAGACTAGCCTGAACTACAAGAACAGATTCTGTAATCAAAAGAAAGTTACTTGAATCTTCTAAATTTTCTAAGATGCTATTAGCATAAAAAGTCAAAGACAAAGCAAATAAAATGTAAAGTTAAAACTCAATCATACAAAATCATCTCATTCACATTCAAACAATTAACAATCATACACAAAGAATCAAGACTAGTTTAAAAGGGGGGAGGGTCAAATTATTATTACTTTAAAATTTGATTACAACCAATTCTGTTGGCATTAAAATTAGAGGAGTTTTAAATTTGAATAATGGCTATATATCAAAGCTCACAAATTAAGTTTGGTAAAAATGATCATTTTCCAACAATTACAGATCAGAAGGTGGAAATCAATTAGAGAAACACAGACAAACTATGTTTACAATGATTGTGCCACAGATTTAAACTTCAGTAGTGCATTAATAAACCGTTCACATTTAGATCTTCACTTTGAGATTTAACAGCTGTTTCTTGAAAAAAATCTTAGTACCTTGTGCAAATAAATCAGTCTTCCATGTGCCTTAGCACAGTTAAAATTTGTCCACTATATATACAAAACACCTACCACACTGGCAGGGCAAAATACATACTTTCATAACAAAACTATAAAGTACCTCTCAAATATGAACAATATACACATAATACATGGTATACAGTATTTACAAAATATAAAATATAATACAAGCTGTACTAAGCTCATCTTTTGCACTCAACTGGTACAAATTTCCACTTCTGTACCTATTCTTTTAAAGAGTCCAGGATTTGGGGAAAACTATGTTTTACATACATACGGAAATCTAAGTCTGAACTTTTAGGAGCGTTTTTAAGTGTACTGCCATTAGTTCCCTATTTTGGATGGAATTTTCAACAGTGCTTCCCATCCAGTGACTAGGCGGCTTTGGAAGAACACTAGGAGAAGGCGGATCACTGAACTTTGCCCCAGCGTAATTTTCCTTTTGGCTCACTTCAGTTAGAAATGCTGATTTCTTCAAATGCATATTTTTAATGTTTTCAGTGTTTTTAAAAGGCTTTTTTTCCTGCTTCTGAATTCTATCAGGCGAAATAGAATCCTGCCAAAAGTTATTCTCATTCCTTTTTGCAGAGGTGATTTTGGTGAGTGGCAAGTTATATTTGCTTTTCTGTCTGTTTATCTTTGGTTGTTCACACAAATGTATACCATGAACAAGTTGGCCGTGGGGAAGGGCAATTTTCTCCGACTTTCCCATCTTTGATTTTAAAACCTACAAAGATAAGGAACACAAAAGTGAATGTAATTTCAAGATAAAAATCACTAATAAGCCTCACATCATGTATTATACACATTTTTTCTTTTTTTAAAAGTTCAGCTTCACTTACTGCTAGATGTCCAAATACGCAGGCCTTTTATACCAGTTACACAACATGAATTGGTTCTACTAAATTAACAACTAAAAACAATCCAGCTCATCTTCTACAACTGCAAGGAAGGGTAGGTTAAGTTCCCTTCCAGATAAACACCATATAGTAAACATTTCCTGTCTACTCCGTACTATCTGGTTTAAAACCTACTTCAACTTGTTTCATCAATTCTAATCACTTCTCCAAAGGTACAGTCAGATGGGAAAGTTAAGATAATCAATCACGGCCCTTTCAGCACTAAAAATGGGGCTGGGGATTTAGTAAAGCGGCGTAAGCATCTGCCTGGCAGTTCGAGATCCTGAGTTAGATCCCCAGTACCACCAAAAAAGAACTTTAAAAGATACTGCACTCAAAGTTAACACATGCAGTTGCTAGCAGAATTTCTCATTTTAAGACCGATTCTATAGAAGGTAATCTTACTGTCCAAGAAACAAGTACACGAAGTTCTTTTAGTGATAGTTTATCACTAGGGCCAGGGATATAGCTCAGCAGCAAAGCACCTGCCTGGCAAGTGCAAGGTCCTGAGTTTGTTGAGCGGTGCCAAACAATAAAATCACTAATCTTCCTAGAATCATGGAATTTTTTTCTTACAGGCTCGGCTTGATAAACCGCTATCTTCAACTCAGTGCAGTGTTATTTCAATAAATGACAGTGATTTTCATATTATGTTATGAAAGAGTAAGTCACTGAAATTAAAAATCAAGAAACTTTTAGTCAGGCGTGGTGGTAGCAGGCCTGAAATTCCAGCCCTGTGAGAGGCGGGGACAGATGGTAAATTCGAGCCCAGACTAGGCAACCTAGAGACACTGTCTCAGCAAGAAATGGCTGTAGATGAATGGGGACTGAACCCAAGGCCCTGGGTTCAATGTCCATAACCGCCTTAAAAAAAAAAAAAAAAAAAACTCTCTAATCATGTTAGATTTAATTCTGTTGGAAATTTAACTCATTTTACCCAAATTCAATAGCACCGCAACTGGTCAGCAAAACGTCATTTCAACTGTTCATTTTTCTTGCGAAAACTTATTCTGGACACAATTAAAACTTCCGGCTATTCAAAAAGCCCAGTCCCGTACACAGGAGCGACTGTAAATACGTTCAGTTCATTCGACAGACTGCACACAACTCCTCCGCTTCAGAGGAAAGAACCCAGAAGCCTCTGCCAACTTGGCAACTTCAAGTACCACGAAGTAGGTCAGACCCGCGGGGTCCAGAGCCCCAGGGCACCGACTTCTCAGCAAATAGCCAGCCAAGGTGAGCTACTCGCTGCCCCCACCAAGCCCCGAAGTGCGGCCTCAGCCCCACTGAGCGCCTCGCCCCAGGCGCGCTGGGAGCGCGACGGCCCAGGAAGGCCCCGCTCCGAGCCCCTTCCTAGCCACCCCCGCCAACCCCACCATCTTCATGAGCGCAGCGGCGCCCGGCACGTAGCGCGCGCTGACGTCAACCTCCCGCGGGCCCCGGCCCTCCCCCACCCGGCGCGCGCCCGTTACGCCGAAACCCCCTGGAACGCCGCCAACCTGCTAAATCCGGGCTGTTGCTGGGGTTCAGCCACTCGTCTCATTGGCCGGTTCCTGGGAGCCAATCGGCAGTGCCAGCGCATGCCTCCCTCCCCCTCCCCGCTGCAAGACCAAGCCAGCGAGCGTCACAGAAACTTCCCTCCCGAGTAAACAGCCGCCCCTCGCCCCGCCCCCACCCTGCCAACCTCGGGCCCGGCCGAACTCCAGCCCCGCGAGGCTCCTACCTCCTTTCTGAGCTGGGCTTGGCCGGGCGCCGCGGACCGCAGCGGCCCGGGTACAAGACTCACTCCCTCAGCTGAGCTTGTGGGCGCTGGGCCCGATGCCGAGGCGGCGGCCTGGCCCGGGACCGTCCCTGAGCTCCGGCCGCCCTCTAGGTTCGGCCGATGCTGCTGATACTGGTGGAAGCGACTGGGCAGCTGCCCCGCCGGGTTGGCTCGCACCTTCTTCTTCCGCCGCTTCTTCGGTGCTGCCCGTGGGGCGCCTCCTGCCACGGCAGGGCTGCAGTGGGGCAGAGCTGCTGCTGAGGCGCGAGGCTGGGGGGCCAGGCAGGGCCCGTCTCCCCCCAGAAAGTGAGGGAGGAAGAGAGTGGGGGGCAAAGCCCGGGGGTCTGGGATCCGGGGTACAGGCGGCGGAGCCGTGGTCACCATCGGGAGGGCCCCGAAGTAACCCCGGGCAGAAAAGCCAAGCGGCGCAAGACGGCTGCTCAAGACGAACGGCTCCCGCTGCGGGACAGAGACGACAGTCATAGCGCTAGGAGTCAGGAGGCTCGGCAGGAGGAAGTGAAGCCCGTGATCACCAGGCGGCGGCGGTTGCTGCTGTGAGCCACGGAGGAACGTAGAGCATGACTCGGGCGGAGGCGGCGCAGCAACAAATAGCCCAGGTCAGGGTTCCGAGTGTTGTTATCAGAAGCTCCGCCCCAAGGCCGCCCACCTCGCTGTGGAAGCCCAATCCGAGTGCAACGGGGGAGGCCACGCCCCTCTAGCTCCACCTCCATGGCCTCGGGAAGAGAGACACAAACAAGCAGCTTACTGCAGCTTGGCACAAAGAGCGCGTACTGCGCAGGCGCTGTTAACGGGCGCTTTCGGGAAGAGTCGGTCCCGCGAACAATGAAGTTGGGTGTCGGCCCCGCCTCTCCGGTTCACGTCTCACCGGAACACAGCGCCTGTCTAGGCCACGCTCGGACTGCCGGGAGAAGAGAAGGCTCGAGAGGCGGGAAGAGGAATTGGGGAGCATCAAGGCCACGGACTCCTGCTCGGCTACTGACCTTGGAGCAGTGTCTGCTTTAACTAAAAAAAATTTTTTTCAAAGAACATTGTAAGGATATAAGGATATCTTCCCTAGCGGTCGTGAAGATCAATCTACATTTAAACTACATAAATTTCTAATGAGGTGTTTTCTCATTTACTCAGTTCAGTAACACTTTTCTAGCCCTAGTGATCGGACTAAGAAGTAACGAAGGGCTTTTTAATGTTTGAACTGGCTTCTTAAATGCACAAACGGGCGTTAGGATTTTTACCGCCCTCCAGCTTGAAGGATTTTGAGAACTGGTATTGCACAGCGGCAATTTGAGGCAGCAAATGCTTTCGTCGCACAGGTAGAAAGTGAAACTGCGCTCTAAAAAATTTTTTATTTTGTTAGCGAACACTGGGTTCGATAGAATTCTCACATCTTCCCCTACAACATTCTTTTTTTTTTGGTCTTTTTTCCTGTTTTTTTTATCGGTACCGGGGATCGAACCCACGACTGCCTGCTTGCAAGGGAGGTGCTTATGCCACTGAGCTAAATCCCCAGCCCCTAAACAATTATGTCAGTCGTTTATCAAACATTTGTTTCAGGAGCTGTTCTTGAACATACAGTATTTCATTTGAATATCATAATAACGCGAATGAATAGGTGCTGTGCTCTGAACTCCTTTTACAAGGGAGAACGTTGAGACTCAGAGGCTAGAGAACTTGTCACAGGTCACGCCGTAATTTAACAGCTGAATCGGAACACGGGGTCTGGAAGAACAAATTTTAATATGACCTACACTATCTGCCACACTGGATTGTTAGTTTTTATTTTTTTACCAGGTTTTATAAGTGCATAATAATCTTCCACTTCTCAGAATCTCTGATTAGTGTTGTGCAGCTTGGTAATGGTGATCGGTTGGTATCTAAAAATATGTATGGCTGATGATAAAGCTGAATATCCAGGATAATGGATCTCAACTTTTTATAAACTTTAAATACATTTCACGGTAATGGCTCATTGGATTTTATCTTTTCTGTCTTTTACTTATATTTGTGTCTGTGACATTCAGTAAACAATAGATGCTCCTGTTCATTGGACAAGTGGGAATCATACAGTTCGAGAGCCAGAAGAGCTCTTACAAAGCCTTTAGTTCAGATCCTCAGACCTATAAATTTAATTTGGGTTTAGAATGCTGTGAGAATGGTGTGTTCAAATTTGTTGAAGAGAAACACAAAAGCCAGGCATGGTAGTGGGTACTTGTAATCTCATTGAAAATTCAAATCTGGATTAAAGATGGATAAAGGGGAATTTACTAAAACCTTATCTCAAAATCATGACATAGAGAAGTGTTGGGGATGTAGTTTAGTGCAAAGGGTCTGCCTTCAATGAGAGGAGTGGGAAGAGATTGTGGAATCTCTGCAGTGAGAAGTGTTCTTTTGAGAGATTCTCTTTTTCAAGGCACCTTCCAATCAGTTCTTTCTTTCTTTTTTGAGACAAGGTCGTACAGTGTAGTTCAGACTAGCCTCAAACTCACTGTGTAATTCAGGTTGAATCCTCCTGCCTCAGCCTCCTAAGGGCTAGCATTAGTCTTATCGTTTTATTCTTATTCCAACCCTTCCCTGTCAGTAGGTTCAGTTTGGTTTTGTTGTTGTTGTTATTTTGTCTTTTTGAGACAGGATTTCACTATGCAGTTCAGGCTGGCCTTGAACTCACTTTGTAGTTCAGGGTGGTTTTGAACTCGTAGGAATCCTCCTGCCTCAACCTCCAGAGTCCTGGGATTGCAGGCTTAAGCCACCACATTTGGCCCAATAGATTCAATTTGGATAAAGTAAATTGTCCCAGAAGTGAGTCAGGGACTAAATCAGTAGGATCCATGAGGCCTTATCTAGGGCTCTTTTCACTATATCCCAAAGTCTTGGACTTGGCTTTCTAGGCACAATAGCATACTCTCTGGACAATCATTTAACCTTCAGAGAGTTGCTAATTGATTTCCAGCTGGGTGGGATCCTTGGTCAAAAACACCTACCTATTTGTGGATACCTTTTGCATGAGTGCTGGATTTGATGCATGAGATATAATTTATCATTTTGAGATCGAAAAGGGTAGGCCTCATGTTAGACCTTGGAATGTGTACTATGAGAACGGTAGCCTTAGTGTAGACTGGGGCAGCCACTGTGGAAATCAGCATATGATTCATAAAAAACTACAGCTGGGCCAGGTGTATGGCTCAGCAGCACAGTACCTTGCTAACAAGTATGAGGTCCTGAGTTGGATTCCAACTGTCAAAACTACAACTAGTGGTTCCATTTGACAAACTATTCTCTTCCTAGGTATCTTTCCAAAGAAATTAAAAGCATCATACCGTGGTGATATATGCACACCCATAGTTTATAGTTTGTAATAGTTAAATCTTGGAAACAGCCCAAATGCCCAACTGAGGGATAAAGAAGATGTGAAGTTTTTTTAAAAAATAAAATGGAATACTATTCTGCCATAAAGAATAATAAACTCGAGACATTTCTAGGTAAGTGCATGCACCTTGAGATCATACTCTTAAGTGAAATAAATCAGATTATGTTCAAATATCACATGATTTCTGGTGTGAGAAACTGAAAGTGTGAATAAGGACCAAAATGTATAATACATCTTGGGAAATGGGAAGAAAATATTCAAATGAGAACAGGAACAAGGAAGGGGGCAGGAAGAAAGGAAAGAAGAAACAAGAATAAAAAATAGGAGGAAAAAATGGAAATAGGTTTTGTAAATGAGGAGAGGGAATGGGAAAAGAAGAATCAAGATGTACCATGTGCAGGTACAAATCCCATATTATATATATCTAAAATGTACCAATAAAATTTTAAAAAGTGTTTTAATGCATTAAGATAGAGTGGGGGAGGGATAAAATATAAAGGTAGTCTTGCTAAGCATGATTGTAATTGTACATACTTGTAATCCCAGCATTAGAGAGCTTGGGGCTCTATAGTTAATTCAAGGCCAGCCTAATTATATAGCAAGATATTATCTCAATAAATAAGTAAATGAAAAAAGAAAGCCATGTACCCTGACATAGTGCATAGTGGCACGTGCTTATCATCTTAGCTACTTGGGAGGCTGAGGTAGGAGCATAGTAAATTCAAATTCAGCCTGGGCAACATAGGGAGACCCTCTCTCAAAAGGAAAAAAAAGCAAAGAAAAAGAAGAGAAGGAAGGAGAGAGAACCTTGGCACTGTGACTGATCAAGGGTGCCAAGGCCTGGCTTCTGTGGGGACACAGCGCAAGGAGCCCCGTGTCCACGGCCTTTTTGCCTTGCCCATGCCTCAGGCAGACGTCCGTCAGGTCTACATTATGCTACTGAAAACCCACTGGAGTTCTCTGAAGTTCACATGCAGGGCTTCAGAAACTGTTCTGTACACGGTCCTGGAATTAATAGGCAACATATTTTCCCACCATCTTAGTCATACCTTTATCTTCCCACCTCATTTCCTCCTGAGATACACAGATCCCCAGACTTCTTTCTGGGGTACTCAGGGATGAAGATCTCTGTCTTCATAGAACTACTTCCTGCTGGGAGGGGCAGGGCAAGCTAATGCGGGGATTATGTGCTCTACCTTGAGGTGTTGTGGCTCTCTCACTAAGTTAAAAACAAACAAACAAACAAAAACCTGTTAGAAGATGATGAAGAGGCCTAGGGATTTAGCTCAGTGGCATAAGCAGTTGCTTGGCAAAGGAGGAGGATAAAGAGAAGTGGGGGGGGAGGGAAAGGAGGGGGGAGGGGATGGGAGGGGGGGGACAATGAAGAAAGAGTGTTGAGCTGTCTGTTCAATGGCAGAAAGAAAGTAACTTTAGTTTGGGGACTGTAGAGTCCAAAAGTGAAAGCAGTTCAGATTTCCACACTTCTGGTGAAGGAGAAACTATGGCAAAGAGGGATGTCAGAAAAATTATCAAAAGCCTGAGGTTCAAAGCTTTAGCAAGATCACCCACATTATGGAGCTAATACAAACTAGAAATCTCAGCACAGGTGCTTATTCACTTACCTGCACTTGCAGCAGGACTAGTGCATCCTCTTTTTAAAGAGGAATGATCTTCCTTCCTCTGCCACCTGAATACTGGAATTACAAGCATGGGCCACAATCTTTTTAATTTTGAAATAGGGTCTTGCTGAATCACTAAATTGCACAGGCTGGGTTAAAACTTGTAGTCATCCTGCCTCAGCTTCCTACAGTTCTGGAATTACAAGCTTGGGACAACAGGCCTGGCAGTTATTTAAATTCTACTTTAACATTATGAAATCACTTAAAACATTTATCCCATTATAATGATTACTTATGTTTTCCAAATAATCTTAAATTTTTAACCCTCACCTATAACTCCTTATATATAATCCTTATATGTCTCATTGTCTTCTAATCTCTTTTGCCTACTTGCTTTTGCTTAGTTTATTTTTGTAGTTTTGTTTTTGTTTATGAGACAGGGTCTTGTTATGCAATTCGAGGTCTTTCTGGCTGTGAACTCACTTTGTGGCCCAGCTGGCCACAGAGTGATCCTTTCAGTGATCCTCCTGCCTCAGCCTTTCTAGTGTTGGCATTACAGGTATGTGCCATCACTCCAGGCTAATTTTGCTAAGTTTATACCCTGTCCTAATCTTTCTCCTTTTAAAG